CCAAACTCGAGCACCTTGGCGCCCCAATGGTTGGTTCAACGAGCATGAAGAGAGGGTGCTGGTCAACCGCATTCTGCGTGATGATCCATCCAAGGGTGACATGCACAACCGTCAAGCCATTACTCCGAAGTTGCTTCTTCAGTCTTTGGCTGACTGGGAACTGTGGCCCATCTACATTTTCGGTCTCATATGGGAGATCCCGTCTGGTCCTCCCGACCAGTACCTCACCTTGACTCTCAGAAACCTGGGCTTCAACACGAACGACACCAACCTTTTGAGCATACCACCTCAGTTCCTCGGCGCAATCTTCATGATGATCATGACGTATCTGTCTGAGATTTGGGACTCCAGAGCCTTGTTTGGTGCCTTCACCCAGCTCTGGTACTTGCCCAACCTGATAGCCATGGCGGTACTCCCATCGAACAGCAGTCCCTGGGTGCAATATGCTGTTGTAACAGTCCTCCTATCTTACCCTTCGCGTAAGTCACTCGACTTGAGACAGCCTTAGAAACATCTGACCCGGATTCTAGCTCATGCAATGCACGTTTCATGGGCATCTCGTAATTCCCATTCAGTTCGCACTAGAGCTGTGTCGGCTGCGTTGTATAAGTAAGTCGGCCTTTGTTTGGCACCGAGCAGAAAGGAGTCTGATTGTTTCGCAGTATGATGGTACAGCTTGCTCGTGTAATCTACTCGAATATTTACCGCGAAGATGATAGACCGGAATGTGAGCATACATGAGTACCCACTCCGTGAACTTATTTCAGCTAACGTCGATTCTCAGACCGCAGAGGGAATCGCGTGCTCATTGGAATCTGCTGCGGGAACATATGCATTTATCTTCTAGCGAAAGTATTCTACATGTGGTGTAACAGAAAGAGGGAAACAGAATGGAACACCATGACAGAAGAGGTTAGTTTACCGGTAGTCTTTGAGCTGCTCTGATTAATAGCTAACAACTCTATTAGGAGCGAAATACCTACCTGGCTACGACAAAAGACCAAGGAAGCAGTAGGAAAGATGTTCGCTTCAAGCACTGAGTTTCAACTACGCTCGAGCCATGAAATACGTACACGTACTTAAGGATAGGACGATTTTCTCACAAAATACGAATCCTTTCCTTCCCACCCCCTTCTGGCTTTTTTCACAACACAACAGATTGGTGTCTCATGGGATGCCATATAGGTTTCTACTCGATGTATTGTTAGAGAAGAGGGCAGGAGACGGCTATCTGGACATGTAATACCCACATTCACGCTTGGCCGTGAGATACCTTGGCCCTTGCAAGTCCGAATGGAAGATGTTCCATCATCTTGCGGCATCCTAGAAGACAACTTCAGAATAAGTGCACGTTTACTTGTACAGATGCGCATGTGACATCCACTCTGGTAGCTCAAAGGGGCTTGCACTTCAAAAATACTCCGGCAAACCATTTCGCTCTGTAACAAGTTGGGACGAGGTCCTTCTTTGCCAGGAAAATATTGTATTGACCACAGGAAATTGGTATTCTCGCCTAGCTATGGCGGGACGATTGCCAGTCTCAAAGGGTGGCCGGCGGTTGTGTGGCCAGAAGAAAGTGTTTGTGAGACTCGTGTTCGAAGATTCGTCGAGGGGGATGAACCCCTCGAGCACAGCAAGCATCAGGTAAGACTTTACATCATGTAAAGTGATGAGTACTCTGTTCGAAGCGAGTGCTTAGAGAATTTCTTAGACGTTTCTTTCAGATTCAACCTGGATTTCTTACATGGAGGGTATTTAAAGACCGCAAGCTCAGCAACAGCCTTTTTGAATTGTCTATGTTTCCTGATCTCTAATGATTCTTTGACCCAACGCCTCTCCAGCTGCTCGAGCTACAACATCTTTCACTCAACGTCGGCCGTCGTGACGCGAGGTAAACCTCTAAGGATCCAGTCCAAGGCTCCCGGGCAAATTTCGTCAGTAATGGCCTGGTCAACGGAGAGTGATGTGACCATATCTGGCGCTGGTAAATGGGGAATGAATTTGATCGAGGCTAGGGCCATCCGTCGAGCTGCCCCATTTTGCATAACTGACATCGGGTGATGACATTCACGTTGGGCAGAAAGCCGGGGCCTCGGATACTGCGGGTCGTCTGACCAGACAGCACCAATATGGAGCTCAATGCCAGGGTGAGTTTCTCCGTCCATCCGAACAAGGGAATGAAGAAGCAAGCGTAGGTAGTCATCAAAATAATAGGTGTTCATCAAAGCCAGACGTACATCCAGCAGACCACATTCTCCACAACGGCTTCGTTCCAGCGGAGCATAAAGCACAATCTTCTTGATTTCTCCCAGATGATTCTGCGTGAATCGGTGGAAATTTTCAGCCCCAGGTATTGGAACGGACGGCCGAATATTCAACGTCTGCCAGAGCAATGGTTCAAAGAAGCCTTGCCATTCCTTGGAAACAAGCGTCTAGCTTGCCATCGGATGTTTGTGATCGTCTGAGGTCGTTGTCTCCAACTCCTCAAAAATCATGAGGCGTAGCTCTGGCGGAAGATGGGTCCAGCGACTGGTCTTGGTTTGAAAACGAAACATCTTGACGCTAGGTGAGCGGGGGTTCTGGGAAATCGAAAGCGAGATTTCAGTTTTTCGTGTATGGAAGTGCACTGGATTCCCTTGGGGTCGGTCTGCTTATATGCTTTATCTTGCATTTGAGGTCGTCAAGGTTTCTCACATATCATGCGGACCTGTGTGGAAGACCTCTCTGCTTTTGTCGTGACCGTTGACAGATTCAATTCTGGGATGGGAAATGATCCTCAAGGTGTTCATAAAGGTTACAGATCTCGTGCGATTAATCATACCTTGGGAACAATGAAACATCGAGCAAGGTCGTCCAATACGCCAATTTCGGTTGCGAAAATTTCTTCCCCCGCTTCCCTCTTACGGCGACTGTTCATACGAGAAGGCGTTCATATTGATAATTTGATAATTAAGATCAATCTTCACTGAGAGTTTACCGTGGCCCGTTCCCTCATAGACCACACATCCCTCAGGTCATCTATAATTCTCTGTATCTCTCCATAACCCATGCGGTCACGCATCTGATGTAATACCAGCTTCACTAGGTCAATGTCCTCCTGGGAGGTGACAGAGTAGCCTAAAATCAGCATGGGCCACGCACCCAAATAACAGCGCGTCCAGGTTTCGTATGCTTCTGGGCGACGCAAGATAGATAGAGCACGAACAACCTGCCATCGAGTTGTTTGTAGAAGAGGTGAGGTGGTGCCACCGGTAATTCCTAAGAGCCCTGCCTCTCTCGTTGACGGTGTTGAGATAGAGTACTCTGTGATGTAATCGAGAAGAAGAGACGCAGCTAAAACAAAAAGCGTAATTGCGTCCCTTTGAAACCTTTCAGACGGAGTTGGGAACGGGAGACTGCTGTTTTCTGTCGTATCCGTAGTGACGAATTCTTCCCATGGCTTGATCTCCTGTAGCAGCCGCGTCACCGTTTCCGCACTGGGATGTTCAGGAGAATTGAGCAAGTCAATGATGACTGTTATGAGACGGTATAGACGTAGTGGAAGCCCGAGGACAAGACTCGAATCCGAGAATAGCGTGTTGATGAGCTTATTATCCAAGAAGCTTTCTGACTGAGCCATGAATTGCGGATCGATGTGAAAATTTGGCGCAAACGGCTTTCTTGCAGCTAGAAGAAAGGCTTGGTACAGGACGCTCTCTGTTGCTAGTCTGTGGAGCGTGCTGGACATGGACAAAGGTAAACTTTTGTCTTCATAACGCAGCTTCAGTAGACTCATAGCACCATCCACGTGTTTCCTGGCGTCGAGAGACGTATCTGCTCCCCAGAACTGTCGAGTGTAGCGGTCAGTGTTGGGGTCGTTATCTGGGGTGGAATGAAATTGGCTCACATTATAAAGGTAAAGATATACCACCGTCGTCAGAAGAGTGTCGCTCGGGCTTTCGTGAGAAGAGCCTAGATCTAGGAGCGAACGATTGACCGACTCGATGGCCCGCAAATAGTACCTCAACGCGGTACTGTGATATCGGCAGTTCTTGGTGAGCATGTATTTATTGGAGGCGGAATTGGCCAAAACAGCATATTTAACGCTGTCGCAACTCATCATCATCCCCATGACCTGGGTCCCGTAGTCCTCCAGGTCAGCTTCGGTGACTGTGGGCAACAACAAAGCAGTGACCAGCACGTTGAGATAGTGATGTGACAAATCATGCTCAATCTCTGGCAATTCTCTCGGTTCAAAGGATATGAGAGAAAGCTCGTCACACGATGAAGGCGTTGGTGATGGTGGTGATGAGCGTTGTGACGCATGCTTCTCAGACGCTGTCAGTCGTTTGCCGCGAAAACGCCTGTCGTGGAGCTGATCGGAGGACGGCCACGCGCAATCGCGGCCTGAAGCAGCGCAATTCCGGCAACAGGGTCTTTCTTCCCCACATTTCACCTTTCGCTGTCTGCCTACAAGGGGGTTCAGTGATACTCAGAGACAATGGAACAAGTCATTTACAGGTGGTACAGCCGGTTTTGGTCCTCAGTCTTGCCCTCGGCATCGTGATAGAGAGACTGATCGCTATCGCTGTCGCTGATTGAGTCGATTGGAGACTTGGTTAAGCTAGGTTCCAATCTCTTCAGTGGACATCAGAGAGACCAGTGGGATAAAAGAAACAAATCGCAGGTGGCCATTTCTTATCAAAAGCATCGACAAACCCCGCACTCATTATCTTTGTGGAGCGGCCTAATCACACAGGTGGGTTAGGCTGCATCGCACAACAACCCAGACCCCTGAAAGTCCGGGGAAGCTGCCGAACGTGCCAGTTTTCGGCAATTCGAGTTTTTGTCCCAGTAAAAAGAAGAACAGGTTGCAGAACTGCTAAACTACTTGTGTATCTTGAAAATGATGTCTCATTGACTACAGCATCATCGAAAAAGGTGACTGCTCAACCACCTGCACGAAATTCCAGATGAAAACCATGCTATGCATCGCGACGAACAGCGTCATTTACTTACTCTTACTGCTGAATAATCCTGGACACCAACTCAGACGCAGCGATCGTATCTTCGTCTCGGAAGTGTTTGCCGGCGAGCTGCAACGCAATGGGAGCGTCCTTGAAATCTTCTGGAGTATCTTTGGTTTGGGGATTTTCAGTCAGACAAGGCCTAAGGAGGGTTAAAACCGATTGACTCACATTTCTTGTACTCTCGGTCGTCCTCGGCAGAGCGAGGCTTGTAATCCTCCTCCACAACATCGATGGCTGGATCAACGTGGACTCCCGTCGGAAATATCACACTTGGCTGATCTAGAATATTCCAGATGGTAGTGTAATGCCAGTATTGCGCCTCGCCTAATCTTGCAGGAGGGCCCACGTATGCTGGACACAAGATGAAGTCAACTCCGCGATCCTTCATGGTTTTGTGATAGCTGCGACCAGGTCAGTCTACATCGCTCAGGCTGTCATGGGTATGTGTATGGAATGGATAACTCACGCATCCCTAAAATTGTCTCGTCGAACATTCAGTTCCCAATTCTCTCTGATAGAAAGTGGTTCAGGCTTTGAGTACGCGAATGCCCATTCTGTCAAGAATGCAACAGGCTCACCGCCCTTCTCCAAGAGTTCTCTTTGAGTTGCAGCTGCATCAGGGAAATAGAGGGTCTGAATGATTTCGGCTCCCTCCCTGTGGTTGTATGGCTCAAAGTCAACAACCTTGATTCCGGCCTCTTTGAGCTTCGCGACCGCACGCTTCAGGGCCCGTGTAACAGGCGGGTGAGGGTGAGCCATCCTATCCCAGAATGGCATATGCTAGTATCCAAAGTTAATAGGTTGTAGAACGGAGACACTTACCCATCATCCCAAATGACACCTATGGTGAAGTCTCCAGTTTTGTACGGCTCGCGTCGTTTCCAGGGCAAAGGTACAAGCTGGGTCTCTTCCTCCCAAGGCTCCTGATCGATGATGACCTTCTGGAACAGGTCGAGGTCTGCAATACTGTTGGCTAATGGAGACAGTACACAGCGAATGCTCTCTTGTCCGAGCCCAGGTATGCAGACCCCCTTGTACGGGTTGCGCATCGCAGTCGTACGAATACCGTAAGAACCGCAAAAGGCAGCCGGTACCCTTACAGAACCACCGATATCTGTGCCAATGCCCATCACTGCACAACGAAGGCCTAGCGAAGCACCTTCTCCTCCGCTAGACCCGCCACTTGTCAAATTTCGGTTGTAGGGGTTCACCGTTGTTCCGTAAATGGGATTGCTGCAGTCAAGATGCTATTGAAAGCGCCAATTAGCATTCGTGTCGACCACTAGTATTCCAAGAGAACCCGGGCACTTACCATGACGCTCTGAGGCTCGTTCGTCCGAACATGGAACACCGCGCCGGCAGCCTTTGCCAGACGAATGACTAGAGCATCTTCATCGGCCACGTTGTCGGCCCATGCGACATAGCCAGAGTGGACTCTACGGCCTTTCAGGCTCATGTGCTCCTTGGCGGATATCGGTACACCGTGCAAAGGCCCAACGAGATTCCCGGTTTTCTTGAAGTGCGCATCCAGCTTCTCGGCAGCAGCCAGTGCATCTTCAACCATGAACTCGGTAGCAAAGTTCACAAGTTGATGCGCAATGTGACCTCTTTTCAAGAAAGCCGTGACAGTCTCGACCGCAGTGAGCTTGCCTTCGGCCATCTGACTCGTCAGCTCGGCCGCGGTACTCGCCGTGATCTGCAGCTCGCGCGGTGTCAACTGTCCACAAGATTCAATGAAGTTAGACACATTGAGCTGACTGGCGGGTGGTAGCTGGTCTGGGGGAAGCAGCCATTCGGGTTTCAGTGACTTTTGCAGGATTTGTCGACAGGCCTCGGCCTTGATCTCCCATTGTGCTGGAGACATTTTGGCGTGACTGATAAGGTGCTTTGGCCGCGACGGGTGAAAGCAGTATGACTGGACTTCGTGCTTCAATTCTCCTAGTGGTCTTTGCGCGACAGATATAATTGAACTGCACTGCCAGTTGGAGCTCCCCCAGTGAGCACAGGTCCGGATATGACGAACACTATCAGTGCCGCGTTCCTGTTCCGTTATCATCAAATGACATGCTTCCGTCATCCAATCAATCACTGATGATATGCCGAGATGACGAAAAACTTCAACACTGATGCAAGGATTGCATGGTGATCACATGGGATGTACGACAAACAAGAAGCATTCTCAACACCCCGCGTCGGCTGTATTCTCCCCCTCCCCAGGTGATCATGGTTTATGGCAAGAAACCCCCGACCCATCGCAATTATCAGTGATTGGATACAGGCGGTCCATTATCAATGATTAGCCTGCAGCTGCACTCGCAATTATACGTGATTGGTCAATCACACCTCCAAGCTCCCCATTTTAGATTATGCCCGAAGGTTATCAGTTCCACCAACTGCCAAACCCCTGGGCACATACCATCATGGCAGAGACCCTTTTCCAGAGGCCTGGGACTCATGTCAAGACTGGCTGAGCCCCGTTCTCTCCATTTCACCGAGACGCTATCGTTCGCAATTGGAAAACATTGGCCAGATGGCGTTCGTCAACTTATCATGATCAGATGCATCATTCTTGTATCTCGCCATCTGACTATCTCGTGGACAGAGGCTGATTGACGTTCGCTGCTAAGTTTCAACCCGTTCATCTGCACTGGTTGATAAAGCGTCTGTGCCTCCACATCGTGCATGACAACTCAGCTGCAAACCAGCGAGTCCTTTCCATCGTCTTTCCTCCCTGAGTATACGAACTGTCTCGTCCGATCATTCGACCTTACTTTCTTTCGGATTCGAACACTGCCACTGAACCGGGCCTACTGTCGGCAATATTGTAGCCGTCATGGGTTCCCCCGATGAGCCGTCGGCGCCGCCGTCGGGCTTTGTTCCCGGCACCGTTCATCTCGTTGATCTCGATGGAACAATGGCATCTCGTCATGCCGCCGGGGGTGCTCGGGACGTTGTGTTGATTCCGACACCTTCGAACGATCCCGATGACCCTCTCAACTGGTCGCCTCGGAGGAAGACGCTGCTTCTGAGCTGCCTCTGTGTGTAAGTACTCGGTTCGGTATCAACTTTAGACCCCCGCTGATGCATGGTGTTCCAACCGGTAGATATTGCCTTTCCATCGGCATCGCGTCGGCGGCTATCTATTCGATCCTTGTGCCCATCTCCGCCGCAACCAACCTAACCTTGGGCGATCTCAATGCCGGCACTGGATACATGTTCCTGACATTAGGATGGGGCTGTTTGGTCTGGCAACCACTGGCTCAAAAATACGGCAAGCGACCAGTCTATCTGCTAAGCTTGCTAGCAACCTTGGTGAGCCATCCCATCTCCAAAGCTGATGAATCTGGAAACTAAAGTCTTGCCGCCGCAGTTGATCATGGTGTGGGCTCCTTACGCAACGACAGGTAGCCAATGGACAGCCAACAAAGTTCTTGAAGGCTTTTTTGGAGCACCAATAGAGTCCCTTTGCGAGATATCGATCGCGGATGTGGTATGTTACTAGAAGTTCCAACTGCCTCTTTCGGGGATCCAACTTAGTACTAACAAGTACGTGTAGTGGTTTACACACGAGAGAGGTACTTACATGGGCTTTTACGCGCTCTTTCTTTTCGGCAGCAACTTCCTCGCCCCTGTCATTGCCGGGTTCATCAATGATAGTCAAGGATGGGAATGGGTCTTGGTACGTCGTCGAATCACATCTTGGTGCTGTGTTTGGTTGTTCGATGTTAACATCTAAATGCCTAGCACTGGTGCGCTATCTTCTGTGGCATCGGCTTTCTTATTTGCTTCTTCTTTATGGAAGAGACCAATTATCAGCGCGTGACGGTGCTGAATGCCGAGATCTTTCCTGGTGACGGAACGGAGTCGTCAGCTGAAAAGGGAGCCAAGACTCAATCCGATACCGACAATGTTGCCCCAATTCAGCCAGATGCCGATGAAACTTCAAAGACACCGTCTCCAAAGACATTCATGGACAAGATCAAGATGTTCCACAAGCAGGATATGAATCTCCAGTTGTCACTTAAGACGATGGCAATTCGCCCATTCCTCTTCTTTTCTTTTCCGGTCATCGTGTTCTCTGGATTTATGTACGGAGCTATCCTCTGTTATTTCAACGTCCTCAACGGCACTGCGTCTCTCATCTTGTCCAGCCCACCCTACAACTTCCGAGCCAGCATTGTGGGGCTTTCGTATATCTCTTGCCTCATTGGAGTTGCAATTGGGTAAGTCCGATAAGGTTGCCTTGGGCTCACAGACAGACACTGACTCGAATTGCAGAACGTTGTATTCCGGCCATCTTGGCGATGCGTTTATCCTTTGGAAAGCCCGACATAACAAGGGTGTCATGGAGCCTGAGTTCCGCCTCTGGCTCTTCTGTGCACTGATGGTGGTCATCCCCGGCTCCCTGCTTCTGTGGGGAGTTGGTGCGGCCCACAGGGTGCACTGGTTCGGCCTGGTATTTGCCATGGGGGCTCTGAGCGGAGGCGTGACCGCTGGGAGTCAACTTGCCATCACATACTGCATCGATAGTTACAAGGAACTCGGTGCCGATGCAATCGTTACAGTCATTCTTATCAGGAACACCATGAGCTTCGCGGTGTCGTACGGGTACGTAACTAATAACCTCGGTATCGTCTTGGCGACCTGAATTCGTCATCTACATGGCATGCGCTAATCATCAGGTAGTATCACGCCATGGGTCACGAATATGGGTTGGCAGAATGCGTTTCTGGTTGCAGCGTTTGCTGCACTAGCTCAGATTTCACTTTTCTTCTTGATAATCAAGAAGGGTCGGGGCTTCCGCCAGAAGAGCGTTGTCAGTTATTGGAGATATCGAGAGCACGAATGAAACTTGTCGTCACCAAGACCTGTGCCATGGGCCACTAGTGCCGGGCCAAGGATGATATAGAGTTTTGCTTTTAGTAGTGCGGTAGTATCTAATGTGGATAATTGGAAAGTCGGCGAGACATTACGCTAGATTTGCCCCTGAACGGAAAGCCCAAGGGGCATGAATTGATACTCCTTGATTAACTAGTCTCACAACGTGAGCTTCCATTGCGGCTTTTATTGGCAGACAAAGAGTTTCGAACCGCAAAGTCATTTGGAGTACAGAGTACGCAGAAGTCACGATGTGGGCCAGAAATGCTTTGCAAGTGACAAAGGATGTATAGTCCCATTATGCTGTGGTATCGAGGACCAGAAATAGTGAGGTTTAGACAAATCTACGCTCCAAGACAAATCATTATACACTCTATATGCAAGGAAATCAAGAATGGATACGATAAACAGGCAGTGAGTGTGACAAGAGAATCCTTCCGGAGAAAGCAATACCCTTCCCCGCGAGCGTTGATGGCAGCATCTTCTAAGTGCAGTCTCCATGTCCTACACAGTCAGACCTGCACACTAGTCCCTCTCATTGACAGACATCTCCCACGCTCTAGCACCCTTCCTCGATCGGGTTCGTCCAAGGCGGAATCTCTCGGTTCGTGAAGTGCAGTCCTAAGAAAGGCCTCGTAGTCAGTCTCCTGACCGTTTTCGTCTCGTATAAAAGAATGCGCTTTTTTCGCTCGAAAATTCCACAAAACCAGATACAGGAGCCAACGAACACCTGGGCTCAGACCAAGCCAAGCTTCGCCCGGGCGACGTCTTCCCTGTTCCAGTCCCGGGACAAAGGAACGTCGTCTCTCACAGATTCGTTGTTGTTGCTGCTGCCGCCTTCGGCATCGAGCGGGGACAGCTCCATTTGGACGGCCTTGGGCATATCGGCGGACATACCGAGCCAGCCACCGGCGATCATGGCAATAGTAGTGCACAGCTCGGTGCCAAAGAGGAGAATGAGCTTGGTGGCGAAAGAACCCATGACGGGGTCGAGGCTGGAAACTCGGTTGAAGGCGTAGGTGGTCGTGTAAGTCAGGTGAACCAAATGGAAGGGCATGCCAACAACGGCGGCGCGAAGCATGAGCATTGCAGGCCGGCAGTTCGGGGAGTTGGCCGCGCGAATGCGCTTGAAGGTGGGCCACATCCAAACGCAGACTCCGATCAGAACACCGAGTTCAAGACAGTTACCGATCTTGTTCAGCATCGCGTTCATGACTCCCTTCTTTGGGTCCGGGGATCCTCCGTAGGTCGCGATGGCGATACCGCCAGTGTTGACAAGATGGGTGACGCCCAAGATAATCTTCTCAGTCCAGCGCTTCGGAGGGGCAGGGAGAATGATGTTGCTAATTTTCTTGTCAGTTGAAACTCTCCCATTAATCTGAAAAACATCTTACGCCTCATAGACAATGCCAATCAGTGTCAGTGTCAAGCAAGCAATGCTGGCGGCGTTGGTCATGATGTTGACCTGGTTTGGTAGCAAAGGCTCGTGTCGTTTCACAATTTGCCAGATGTCGGCGATGAATCTCGCAGCAAAATGCGACAGGAAGATCGGCCAGCAGACCATGCCCTTCTTGCCGTGTTTCCAAGTGATCCATACTGCTGGCGGAAACATAATGGCGTAAAGGGCCAGTTCTGCGATGGCCAGGTTGACGACATTATTTGACACCGGGGGGAAGTTTGCGGTCGAATGGTCAGACATTTTGATATTTGTTGGATCGTTCGGCTTCGAATAAGTCGGACTGTGGTAGCTGTCGCTGTCGAGAATATCGAATTGGTCCGGAGTATGCAAACAGATAAAGCACTCTGGGGTATCCTGCTTGATAAGGTTGAGGACGCTAAAGCTTGCCAAGAGCTGACGAGATGGTGATGAGGTCGAACTGAATTCTGACCAGCGGTAGCTAATGACTATTAAAGAAATAGCAAGACTTCAGATCGAGTCATTCTCCATGACGACGTTTGAGTCTAAAACAAGTTCAGACTGTACAACAACAGAAGATCACTGACGCGATAACAAAATCTTCGTGTCTGGAATACTACACAGCCTGGAAATGGGACTCTGGACAATCTGGTGTTCCCCACCCGCGAGAGCGAGAGCGAGACCGACTCGCGCGCGACCCCATGGTAATTCAACGTCCTTGCGTCGCTATGTGCGATGCACGGGTAGCGCCGAGTGGAGCATCCGGGCTTTGACACGGCAGAAGATCCAATCACCAGCAGCCGGTAGGTCCCATCCGGGCCGTCGTGCCAGGGCTGCCCCGGCTCACATACTTAGGATCTGCCATCCGGTGAGAGATTGTGATTGCAACGAGGCGTTTCACGCAGCTTTTGGTGAAGCCAGCCACATCTGTCAGTTCCTGCAAGGACGGTTCGGTAGTTAATCGCACTAGAAAAGTCCACCCTGTCCAGTCTGCCTTGCCCGTGCCTTGCGATGATCTGCCCTACGGTGGGCTAGCGGAGAATTTTATCTGGAGCCAAGCCACCCATCTCAATCAACGTGAACCGGTCTGTCCACTGGATCCCACGCAGTCCGGCATTGTGTGGGGGAACCTTCACGATTCCAGATCGACGCTAGGATTGCAAATACCGACGTGGACGAATCAAGAAGCCCATTAAAGGGGGTAGTAGTTGGCAAAGTTCGAATCCAAACAGCCTGGCCGCTCGGTTTCGATAAATCAACGAATCCGGTATCGTTATTTGGCTCCCTGAGATGTCGACAATGCTTCGCCTTCCTTCAGATGAGGCGCGACTGAAGGGTGACAGGAAACTCTGCAATAGCGCGCCCCAGTCTTCATGTAAGCCTTCGTATGTGAAAGTGGTGTTGGCCATACACCTACTTTATTGATATTAATTCCTGTAAGCACCGGCATCGATCGTGCCGAACACATGGATTCATCAACCACCTACCACTCATCCAATAATGGGATTGAGTTTGCGGTTTTTTGCGAGGCGCAAACACACACACTGGATGACTCTGCCGCGATCCGAACAACCACTCGCCCAGAGGATCTCGTCAACGCCGAAGCCTTATGTGGCTCTTGCGTCTGCCACCTGCCGCAGTCAGGGTTGCGGCTTCGCTTTCGCCGTTACTTCAAGTTTGTCTGAAGTTCGAAGCAGCACAGGCCAGTCGTCCCGTCTTTTGTGGCTGGCCTAGAACTACACGGCTGGACGTTGGGCACGCCCGCAGCGAAGCGCGCCGTTACCTTTCACTTCGCTTTCGCTGTTGTGGGGAGAGCCAGGGTATCTCCGGCACGTCAGCGCTTCGGCCACTTGGGTTCGGTGATTTCACGTTGTATCCGTCGATGGTAAGTTTCTGATTTTCAGCTGCAGGTTTGACAAATAACCTTTTCTGTTATTCCCTGCCAATGTGACCGTTTATCCCATCTTTTTCACACTACGTACGCAACATCGGCGGTGCTGGGTATCGACGCATCAGTCATCACTGCGGCTGCGAATTCCACGTCGGCAAGTTGTAATGCATAACAGAGGTCCTGAAGAGGAATGTAGTCGTGGAAGAACCTTGATTCCTTCCGCCTTGGCGTTGATTTTGTGTCTTCGCCAAGTCCTGGGGTTACTGTCGCTACCTGTGTTGCAGGTCCTACTGTTTCGTGCATTATCATACAAGTGTACCTGCCAATCCAGGCATGGGTTTCCTTAACTCCGCAGCGAGAAATTCCGACAACATCTCCGGCAGGACTAAGTGTTACCTCTGGGCCATGCCAGCCACTCGTCAAAACGGTGATCTTCCTTGAAGTGGCTGTTTATATCTGCCAAGAGTTGACTTGACCATCCGCGAAAGAACCAATAATCCTTGTCCAAAACCGTGATGAACACATTCAAGTACGACAGCAACACCAATGCATGTGGCTCGGTCCGCCGGAGATCATCAATGACTGACTCCGGGATGGAGTATGTCCATAGGAGGCAGGCGCTGACTTCAACTTGCAGCCCCCCGTTGGCCAAACCGATGCAACTCCTTTCGAGAGACGATATCATTGTGTCGTAGTCTCCGCAATTCGGAATCGGGTGTTCCTGAGAGCGGTAAAGAGACCGAAGGTGTGACAGGGCACCAAACGTGTCTCGTGGCAAACGGGTTCCTTCGAGGCTTGGACGGGTATTGCTGCAACACAAGGTGAGCACAACATCAGCATGTGATCCCGATAAACAGCTTCTTGCAGTGCCCAAAGTTGCTTACGCTTCAAGTGCCCCAATCATGGGTATGCCGTGTGTCATTGCAGCCAGATCGCTCTCCCTAATCCTTACCGTCCAACCCTCGAGGATGGCGCGAACACCTCTCATGATTGATAGGAGGTTGACCACATCCGACATCGACGTATTCGCATTTGAACTGTTTCCTGGACACGTGGCCGGCGTGCATGCCCGAGTATTGACTACAGCCGAGAAGCAAAACATGGCTTTCCAGTTGTCCTCGGTGACATTTGACAGCAGGCTGCGAAACGTCTCTTGTCCTTTGTCGTAGTGGTATGCACTCCGGGTAAGGTACAAATGTCTTTCGCCTGCGGGCAACATGGAAGCTTTGTGGAGAGCTGCTATAGCGAGAAGGCCATGCATTACAAAGCTATGTCGACGTCCCTCTCTCGGAAACACTTCACGCCACACGTGCCTCACAGTGTCTCGATAGCCCATAGTGTCGCATGTTAGAACACAGTAATGGTGCATCAAGTCGACGTCGATTGTCCAAGATTCGTCGGAGATAGTCGAGGAGACTGGAGAGGCTGTTCTCGGATATTTCGGAACAAGATCAAGGAAATCGGTACGGCCATCGCTAGGAAGAGATCTCTTTTTACCACTTCCTGGAGATTCGGGTATCTGATTTGACGAGGGTCTCTGGGGAAGACCGGGAGTTTCCGATGTTGGTGTTTCCAATGCCGTTGGTTCGAAAGGCCTGAGATACAGAAGTCAGGTACTTGAACATACTCCGGCGAGGGCAACGTGGCGCTTCACCTTAAACAGGCATGACAAGTCGAAAGATTGTCCTGGGTCGTTGAGCTTCCATCACTGACAAAGCTGCAAACAATTCTGTATCTTGTGCAATTGAAACATGCCGGATGACGCTCGTCGCACTTTATGAAGACCGTGTTAGCGGGTATCCATTTGCCAGGGGCCACAATCCATTGCTAGAACCTCGCATTCGATAGGAGGAGGTAATCAGGAACGCGCATTCTTAACGCCGAAAGCCTCCACTATCTGTGCGCTTCGGTGGGTTCCAGCAGCACAGAGGGACTTGCCGCAGTGTCCTACCTTGACTTTGCGCTGCTTGCATTGGCGACAGCCGAACCGAGACTTTGTATGTGTCCGCCGAGTTGACATGATGGAGTGTAGGTGACGAGGCATGAGATGGGAAGACGAATGGGGGGCGCGCTTGAAGTAATACGAATGATCTCGGGTTCTCGTGCGTGGATCATCCCGAATCCGAATACTCGTATCGACTGCGCCCGAGTCAAATCACCGGAGCCAAGACCGCGTAGTGGACAATGCGAACCCGAGATATTTCGTACAGACCAGGCCTATGAAATCCACAGTCAGTGAACCGAAACTTTGTGCTGTCTGATCCAATAGGCTTCATCGACGGTACTCTTCTCTGACAAGCCAAGCATTTCTTAATGAACTACGACAGTCTTATCACAAAAGAAGTAATCAAAATTGTAGGCAACCTGTAGTCTTAAGCTTTAATCCATAGGTCGATATAAATCCTGAACACTTGTGCTGCCGACATTTGCTGTCCTAGATATGTCACCAATCTTTCTCGAAGTCATCCTTCAGTATCTGCGCATTTGCTCCAACTCCAGCAGCGAAACCAGCACCCATAGCGACAGACACCTGCTTCACCTGTGTGGCACAGTCGCCAGCCGCAAACACGCCTCTTCTACTTGTCTCTTGCATGTAGCCCGAAATCGGGATATCTCCCGTTTGCGTAGTTTCCAAACCAAGTTGCTCTGCGAAACTACCGCTGGGGACCGTCTCGGGTTTGTGGAAAAGAAAGCCAAACGACGACGTTGTTCCATCCTCAAATTCAACAATCATTGAAGCATCCCTATTGTAGCCCAAGGTCTGAAGTTTCCGAATCTTCCGATCGTCCACTTTGAGACCATGGATCTCGCCGGCTTTTTGCACATCGCTTAGGGTCAGAGATCCGGTACCATTGGTCAACAGGCATATGTTCGTCGAAAATTGCCGTGCAAGTTGACCGCATGAGATTGCATCGGATAGCTTGATGCTGCTGTTTGAAGTGAAAAGAACAGCTGCGTTGACGGCACCGAACTTCTCAAATCCTGAACGATGCATGCAGTTGAATCTGTCCATCTGTAAGTAATAAGAACGATCTGTAGCCTTTGGGAGCACTCACATTCCCTTCCCCCAACATTCTTTGTATCCTGCGATATCTGGCAGCACATCACGAGTGCCTGTCGCCAAAATCACCTTTCTACTTTTCCAACACCGTCCGTTCTCATCTTCTACCTCGAAGACTGGACCGGCCTCACGAACGGTCCTGGCTCCTGTCTTGGCAAGCATGATGGTCTTGTACTTTCGTTGCAGCTCTGCCTTCAGCCCATTGCGGATCAAAGATGGATTATCCTGGTCATGAGCCCCGCCGATACGAGAGACGTTGTGCGCCTTCCAGTCTCCCGAGTCAAACACCACGGCGCTTCGAAGAACCCTTCCAAGAGATAGGGCCGCAGATAGACCCGCGGGACCGGCCCCAATGATGCAGACATCGAGAGCGTTTCTGAATACGTGGGGTGTCATTGCCGAGTCTGAGGCCATGATTGCAGAGAAACAGGAAATCCGTAGAGAATGCAAGTATGGCCGAGGAGAATGAGAAAGTTGGCGATGGGTAGGTAGGTAGATATTTGCAAGCGATTTGGTGATTTGTACGGTCCTTGTCTCACGTCAGACGATCGACGAACCACGCCGTGGGGGAAATTAGGGAAGCATTGAACGTTCAGAACTTGTGGCGCTCTTCCTCAATATACTAGTCGGAGACTTATCTCAGTCTTGGCTGGCCACGTAGAGGGGCAACTACAAAAGGGTCCGAACCGTTGGCTTATTGGATAACATGCTAACTACAAACAGAACACGACAAATCCTACCGATAACCGCTCTGGCTTCATTCGCTGCTAGGGATGACGTTGGATTCGAATGCGAACACGCTAGCCATATTACTCCATCTAAGGTCCCGAAATGATATGTGTTAGCTGTGGCTTCCGTCATTTTCAGCAACCAAATGAGGATCCTCATAATCAAGTTCCTTCTGCTAGCGATTGAAAATATAGTTATGCCATGTGTACCTTCTATTGAACATGGATAGATACGTGGAGACGAGACAGATATTAGCATTCCAAAAGCTCATGACTGCATCATGGGATCAATATTTGCACTGTCCTGAAGCTTCAAAATGCCAATAAGCCTCCTCACTTCGTCAATGATGCGAATACATGGTGGACGATCAGCACCGCTCGCGTATTGGGCATAATCTTGGCTCCGAGGATTGCTGTGCCAGCCCCTCTGGCGCTCTTCCAAGACCTCCAGTAAACCCATGAAAGAGCTCTTGCTTGCTCCATCCAAACCATAAATCTCAGTCTTGACAGCTTTGTTAGCCAAAATCATCCATTCTAGTGGATGCATCTGTATGCTGAACCCCGGGGCGCTAGATGGCGCATCTGTCGATGAAACGACTCCGTCTGACCCCAAGCCCTGGAATTCAATGGCTTTGGTCTGGTTGAGTCGAGTGGCTGTTGTTGCCTCGGATTCGATAGCCTCAAGCACAGAGCCGTACTGTCTTGCTATAGACATCATGAGGCCGCCTAAGAGTGACATATTCTGTGTGGCTGAGAGAAATCTCGTCGGACAAATCGGACAATGGATGATGTCCCTTGCCTTTACCATCATCCCTCTCAAGAAATGGAGACCTGAAGGGAAAGTCATCTCCTCGTTCGCCTGCATCTGATCTAGCATAAGGTACAAGCTCGCGAGACAGGCGCACGAAGACTGATTGGAAGGAGCCGCAGTCGACCCAAGCGGAGTATTGTCGGGACTTGGAGCTGTTGTAATCAAGACTCCACCATCTTCAGATAAGGCGTCCAGTCCAGCTTCCGCCTGTTCTTCACAGAGGGTAGTGGTGCTTGAGATCGAATTGTTAGTCGCCCAGTTGTTTTGATCGGGAATTGAGTCCCCTGTATATGCGGACGAAGTTGGAGCCGATGTCGCTGTGCTGGACGGATGATCGGGACTGGGCCCGATTGCCGAGTGTTGCGTCCGGGTAGACGGCTCCGATGTACCCGCCTGCCGGTCATCCATCGGGGTGGGCACGCCGCATGCGCAGATCTTCCGCCGCGGAGGCTGGCCAATTGGTTTTTGGATGGAATAAAAACACTCTGCTCCAAATCTTGTACATCTGCCGCACTTCGGTCCTTTCCCATCACACCTCACTTTCTTCTCTCCTATCGGGTCGAGGATCAGTTCCTGTTTAGCGCCGTTTTTAACGAGGCGAGATCCACTTACTGCACCGGTCGCAAGATGCACGCTTGGTCGCGGGGACTTGTTCAACTGGTGTTGACTTCATTATGAATTCGCTTGAGTATATTCAACGGCATTCATTCTGTAGCCCGGAATGAAATTCAAGGAAGGAGGCTGGCACCAACCTCGAATTTGGCAAGTAAATGACAGTCGCGGAGACTTTAATGTGGTTTCATTCGACACTGGCTGCTGTGGAGTGAGTTTGAGCAAGTTGTGACCAATGATAGCGATGGAAAGTGTCCGAGGTCATCTGGCGCAGGGATGACTCGCGTTGAAGGTTTGGCATCTGAGAGCTTCAAGCACTGACGGCAGCTTACAGGAAAGGAGGCCGAAATGGCGATATCGCAATGCCATGCAACCAAAGTATGTAAGGCTGTGGTTAGGATCCAGATTGCTTATCATATCAAATTCGTGTTGTTTCTATCAAGAGATGCTAAAATTAACCCGCCAAGTTTCTGGCAACGATTTGACGTTGAATAGAACTTCCTGATGCATTTGCGTTGGCTCAGAACGTGAAAGATCTCGTGAATGCTGACACGGATCCCTTTCATTTTGAACGGAACCACTCATTTGTGACTTTGACCATAGATGAAGCACCATATTTACTACTGTTGCTTTTCTGTATTTGCTATCATCAGTGCCTTCTCTGCCAGCCTTAGAACTGAGTGCCACTCAGCGTGGTCGGGCAACTCAACTTCAAATGCCTCGGCTCCTTCGCTGTGACAACCCCAAATGAGTTACCCAATCGAATCATCTTCTCAGTCGTGTCTTTTGCAGAGGTCGCCGCTTGTAGATACATTTTTCTGTTCGAAAATGCATTTTCCGTCAGGCATCTCGACCAGGGCTTTCAGCAATGACATGGATGGTTCCACCCGGCAACGTTAGCGACGCGTCTCCCAGGTCATTTACCAACACTTCGACTTTTTCTTCGATGATTACATCCACTTTCAGAAACCCCAAAAAGAACTCTTCAGGCGACAAGGAAAAAAAAGCAGTGCGTCCCCATATGTGATGAGATCAATAGTCTCGTACGAGGTCTCATGTGCCCACACTGTTGGGGGTTTGAAGCCTGCCTGAGCACACCGAATTGTCTTAGCCACCCCATGGACGGGGCTGAGAATGGCGAAAGCTGACTGGAATCGTCATCTGAAAAGAAAGAGTGTGTCTCGCTAACCCTTGGGGTCTCAATTGTAAGGTTGCATCCCCATCACCATATTCAGCTGGACCCCACCCACCAATAGGGCCCCAACACTACATCACAGCCTCCATAGTCCGACTTGGCTGCCCACTTGCTGCAAAATGCAAGTGTTGTCTAAGCTAGGAGATATCTCGCGATCGCTAGACAGCCTTGAAGATTTTAGACCGAATATTTGATATAAAAAGCATGCTTCACGTCCGCAATTTTCCAGCTTTGAGAAGCGCATACGTAACAACAACATTGTTCCTTCCTCAAAACATCAACATGTCTCTTTCAACTCTTCACTATGACCCCGAGTTTGCAGCAGTTCTCTCGGGTGTAAACATTCCTCCTCCCCCCGCAACCTTCAAAGACGTATTTGAATTACGGGAGTGGGGAGACAGTCTGCTAGAGGGTCTCGGCTTCGGAATGCCCATTCCAGAAAATGTTCTTCAAACCATTATCCCCTTTGAGAGCCACGACGGGACGGTTCTCAACATCACACACTTTTCCAACTCCAACAAGCCCAAAAACTCCACGCAACAACCTGCAGTATTCTACGTCCATGGCGGAGGCATGGTGGCAGGGAGCGTCGAGCTGTATGCTCCCAATATCGCCAATGCCGTCGACTTTTACGGACTTGACTTTTTCGCTGTAGACTATCGTCTCGCGCCAGAGCAGCCCGGTCCCAAGCTTACGGAGGACGTCTACTATGGCCTTAAATACCTCTCTGACCACGCCAAGGAGTACCGCGTTGACAACAAGCGCATCGCTATCATGGGTGACTCCGCAGGCGGCGGGCTTGCGGCTGGTGCCGCCCTACTAGCCCGAGACCGCGCCCTAAGCCCTCCCATCGCGAAGCAGGTCCTAATCTACCCCATGCTGGACGACAGAACACGGCTCCCTGAGAACTCTGCTTACACCCAATTTCTACTGTGGACTGAAAACGCCAACCAGCTAGGCTGGAGCTCCGTTTTGGGCGAAGGAGTAGCCGGGAACCCGAAAGCCAATGCCTCGATTTATGCTGCGCCGGGGAGAGCCAAAAACCTGAGAGGTCTACCACCTACCTACATTGATGTAGGACAACTGGATCTCTTCATGTTTGAAGACATTGCCTATGCCAATAAGCTGGCTGAAGCAGAGGTTGAGGTTGAGCTCCATATTCTGCCTGGACTGCCCCATGCATTCGAGTTTGCATCCAATGCTACTTTGGTCAAGCAAGCACTTCAGTCACGCCAAAGAGCTTTGATGCAGGTGTAGGATCGGTGTCAAATCGCCTGACCTGTTGGAAAATTAGATAAGAACAAAGACCATGTCACTTCAGAACCGATGCCGGCGAACTCACAGGCCTAGCCAAGTCTCATCCGCCATCATTCAATCGTGGGAATGACAAGTACCATTATGAACAACCGAGATATCTGTCCAACCACTTTCACTTTTCATTACCAAAGACTAGACAATACATATGAATATCACAACGCTCTTTCGTCTTGAGTTTATGTTCTGCATACGTGCGTTGAGAAACCGAGCCAATCAAGCTCCAAAAGAAGCCCCATGTGGTAACTAAGAAAATGGCCGCGGACAATGTTCCATTCGCACCGCGCCCAAACTGTGTGGGCGGGTTTTTGGTTTCTCACCTAGCGCGGGTGTACAATCAATTGCCTACATAGGTTTAAGTCATCCATAGTTAATTCCAACGTCACTGTTCTGCGGAGTTTTCGTATCGCCCTCTGCGGAGTTGATCGTGTTCGCGACTGGCGGAGTTAGGTGCGGAGTAGCGGGGTATCGTCGCTGTGCTACCCACTAGAGGCCAATCAGTACCAGTTGAGGCCGTCTGGTGTCAGCTTACTTCGGGCTTTGATGTTTCACGCAACGAAGAGGCTTGATGGGTCAAAGTGAAGGCGCTGGAACATACAGGAATACTCCCTAGATCCGTGTGATGGGAACCGAATACGGCCTTAAACTATAAGTACACTGACAGGAACCTGTAGGTCTGTCATTCAATCTTCACAACAGTCATCACATCCCTAAATCAACATTGAATCGAAAAACAAGTCTTCGAAATAATATTCAAGATCCTCAATCTTCTATAACATCCTCGCTCAAAGTCCCATCAACATGGTTTTCACCAGCATGGTTCTCGCTTGCCGGAAAGACGTTATCTCACACGATGAGTTCGAGAGACGATACGAGCAACACTTGGTTCTGGTGGAGCAGCTGTGTGGCAACGCGATGCCCCTGAAGCACACCAGATACTACCCCCAACACGGCGGAGCAGATGACAAGCCCATTGTCCTTTTCGGAAACAACAAGGAGATGAAATACGACGTCATCGTGACAATCGAGTTCGAAGACGAGGCTGCGTGGCAGAAATTTGGCGCCATACTGTCCGAGCCGGAGGCTGCCGCAAAGATCGCGGCTGATGAGGATGGGTTCTGGGATAGAAACCAGATGCACGTGTTCAACGTGGGAGGCGTCAAGGTTTGGGAGAGGAAATGATTGCCCGGCTAGTTCTGCTGCAACGCTCACGTTCGCGGGAGTCATGTCAAGAAAGATTTAACCGCCCCTGAAGTTGCAAACTTGCGCCTTGTGTATCTTGGAAGAAGTTCTGTCATCACCGTTTTGCACGCCAGTCAATCAACCCCTAGTTGTAGGGATTCATAATTGAGAAAGCTTCATCTCACTGACTTGCGGCTGTCTATATGTGTGATTATCGTGTCTGACTCTTTGTATGATTGATTTATCGTTGAGCTACGTCTTCAGTTAGATGCCGCGGCGGACTCTCTGTTGGCCACACTGCCGCTCGCCCGTGAAATGTGGGAAAACCCATTGACCCCTTTGGTCTTCATACCTTCCACCTTTCCCTCATCTTCAGGGATGAACTCTTCCACCACTTCCTCACTGGGTCCATAACCTCCACCGCCTGGTGTCTGCACGATAATGCGATCACCAGGGTTCATCATCACCGTCGCCTTTCCACCCAAGCTGATTGTTCTCACGGTGTTGTCGGTATCATCCTTCCGAATCCAAAGGTTGACTCCCCGTTGACCCTCCTCGCCACCAGCCATACCATATGGCGCGATGACACGTCGCTCTGACAGAATGCTTACTTGCATTGGCCTGCGGAACTCGATATCACGAACACAGCCATCGCCACCTCGTCTTCGGCCGAGACCACCACTTCCCTTGCGGATAGAGAACTCATGCAACAACACGGGGTAACGCTTTTCCAGTACCTCTGGGTCGGTAATGCGCGTGTTCGTGACGTTCGTGTGTACTCCTGATTGGCCTTCCCAGTGAGGACCTGCACCAGCACCGCCAGCAATCGTCTCGTAGTATCCGAAGCCCTTGGTGACTTGCCCATCCTTATCCGTGCCGCCGTAGCCAAATGTCAAGTTATTGCAGGTACCTTGGCTGGCAGCTGCAGCACGGAATGCCTTGAAGATGAGGTCTACGATGCGTTGAGAGGTTTCGACGTTGGATCCAACGGTTGCAGCCTTGAGACTAGGTGACAAGAGGGTGTTTGGTGGACAGTAGATCTCGATGGGTGCCAAACATCCTTGGTTCAGGGGGATATCTGAAGAGATCATACAGCGCATACAGTAGATGATGCCAGAGTACATGACAGCTGAGGGTGTGTTCTGCGAAATCAAGTCAGCCTTTGCCGCCACAAATCCCTACAGAGCAGACTCACCAGGTTGTTCAACGCCTCCGGTCCGGTTCCCGTGAAGTCGAATTTGGCGGATCCGTCTTCTCCATTGATGGTCGCCCGCAGAGCCAGCGCCGTTCCATCATCCAGGTAGTCAACTGCTTTCAGGGGATGTCCGCGGAACCGGCGGCTGAAGGTCTTCAGTAAGGCCCGGACGCTCTCCTCGGCATTCTTTTGAATCGCTTCCATGTAGAATTCAACCACCGGCCACGAGTATTGTCGGACGAGATCTTGAATTAGGTAGATACCCCGATTGTTAGCAGCAACTGAGGCCTTCAGGTCGGCGATGTTGTCTCGCAATGTCCTCGTTCCACTGCAGCCAGGATACTGCGCAGGCTTTACGTAGAGCTCCTCTACCAAGCCCTCCTCATTGAAGACTCCTCTATCGACCATCTTGAAAGACTCAATAGCAGCACCTTCTTGCCAAAGCTCTGTGGAGTTGGGTGGCATTGAACCGGCAAGGATGCCTCCAATGTCAGCGTGGTGACCTATCAAGAGTTAGCAATTGGCTCATACGAATGAAGCCCATAGATCAAACCTCTGTTTGCCACAAAGAACATAATCCTCGTCGGGTTGTCGTTGTCGTCAAAGACTGGCGTGATGACAGTAAGATCTGGCAGATGAGTTCCTCCGGCACAGGGGTGGTTAGAGAGAATGACATCTCCGGGCTTCAGGCCATCTTTGCCGTATTTCTCCGCCTGATACCTGATCGCCGTGCTCATTGAGCCAAGATGACCGGGAATGTGGGGTGCGTTAGCAACAAGTCCTCCGGATGCTGAAAAGATTGCACAAGAGTAGTCCAGTCGCTCCTTAATGTTCGTGGAGATTGACGTCTTTTGAAGAGTTCGCCCCATCTGCATTGTGTTAGAAATTGCCTTGCAATTACTGTCAGTGGCGGTGACGTACCTGTTCTGCGATTGACATAAGACGGTGACCAAAAACAGACAACTTGATCGGGTCGACCTCGTCCGTTGACGTCGTCTTCTCTTCTCGGCTGACCAGGTCAATAACCAGATGTGAGTCCAGCACGACGGCATGGCTGTCTTGATCCAAGATAATCGTCTGAGTCGCGTCAAAAATCACTGCAGGGCCCTGGACTTTGCTCAACTTAGGCAAGTTGTCAATGTGGAAAACAGGCGCATTCGTCCAGCCCAACTTCTCGAAGTATATCCTCTGAGTCTTCGCATTGGTTGCATCGGCGTGAGGAAATTGATCTGAGCCAGCCATCTGTTCGAAAGGGTTCGACAAGGGAAGCTCCATAGCCTTTCCGACACTACGGACTCGGACGTCGTCAATCAGGATATCCCTCTCCTGGCTGAAACCAAACTCCCTATGATGACGGGTGACAAAGGCTGCGGCGAAGTCTCCATCCTCTGGTTCGGGGATCATCAAAGCTGTATCGCTGCCGCGGTACCTCATATTGAGGAACTTCTCGTGAGACACTCGATGAGCCGGAATGCCCTGAAGCTCAAGGTCCTTCGTCCCTTGCAAAGATACGGACGCAAAACGCTGAGTCAATCTCTCCTGAGCTTCCGGGCCATACGTCACGGCTTCCGGCTCTTGGCGCTCAACGACAATATCAGCCAGTGCCATACCAAACGCTGACAGAATACTGGATAGTCGGTGGATCAGAACGCGATGAATGCCGAGATCTCGGGCAATGGCAACGGCGTGTTGGCCGCCTGCGCCGCCGAAGCAAGCAAGATTGTGCGCCGACGCCTCGAATCCTCTGCCTTCGCTCAAAGTACGGATTGGTCTCGCCATTGTGGCGTTGGCAACCTGAATGAAGCCCATCGCAACTTCCTCCGGCGTGAGCTTGTCGCTGCCATGCTTGTCCCGGTTGACCTGGTCCGTGAGCGCGAGGAACTTCTCTCGGACGGTGTCGACATGAAGTTTGCGGGGAAAGTACTCTGGCAGAATTCTACCAAGGAAGCAATTGGCGTCCGAGATCGTCAGCGGGCCCCCATTTCCGTAGCATGCCGGGCCCGGATATGCGCCGGCAGAGTCAGGGCCGACCTTGAAAAGACCACCGTTCCACTCCAAGATAGATCCACCACCGGCAGCAACAGTGTTGACATCCAGCTGAGGACATTGGATAGGAACTTCGGCAACGGTGCTTTCAAAGACATGCTCAAGTGTTCCGCCATAACGGGAGACGTCAGTGCTGGTTCCTCCCATGTCAAACCCAAGAACCGGGGTTCCCTCCTTCGCGTCATAGCAGGTCTTCGCATATCCAATGACACCGCCAGCGGGACCGGAAAGAATGGCGCGAAGACCGGTGAAGTCGCTGAACTTGACCAGACCACCATGCGATTGAGAGAGCAAAAGCTTGTTTCCGTCCTCATTCATCAGCTCGCCCTTGAAGCCCTTTCGGAAGCTGTCCAGATAGTTCTCCGTGATGGGTGATAAGTAGGCGTCGGCGGTGGCGGATTGAGCACGAGGAACGATGTTGATCATGGCCTGAAGTTGAGAAGATAATGAGACCTTGAAGCCCATCCCTCTAGCGATTTCGCCAATCTGTAGTTCGTGGTCCGGAAAGTTGTAAGAGTGC